TCTCTCTATTTTGCGCATTACAGCACGCGGTAAAACTTTGTGTAATTGAAGTCTTTGTATCATCGGCCGATAAATTGATTTCGCACACCCCAGTGCCTGTGGGGATATCTGAGATTGGGCCGTACGTCTCGCAGCAAGTCTGCATTGCCGCAAAATTTATTTTCAGATCACTACCCAGGCACTGGCAATGAGTCTTGCTGGCCTACTGGAGCATTAAAATATACTCCTTGAAAGTTGACATAGGGTAAAGATCCCCAGGGGCACATACAGAGGTAGAGGTAGCCATGAAAAGAAGGCAAGCGGGGAAGATGAGCTTCATGGTGATTGGGATATGTCGAATGCTTGACGTGACGCTGAAATGAATATGTATTGCCGGAGGTGTCTTGGAACTTACAAAATTCAGGATAAAGACTCGTTTATATAGTCAGACCGACCTTATGGATAACTACTATAAGGTAACAAAATAATTCCTAGGAATTACATATTATAGGCTTAGCATCATATTTGGTCAAGGATTGCGGCTTAACTTGTTACCAAACAGGTTTGATCAACAGCATAGACGTGTTGCGGCATTTTTTTTATAGCTAGCAGCATTATATATAGATAGACGCTAATATTTTTTAAGCTTGGTTAGGTTACATGCTTTTACTCCTAGTAAGAGTTCTAGGTAGTTGTAACAAGGCTAGGCTAAAAATAGCTAGCGCTTACTAGATGCCTAGGCTAGACTTGAACAAGGTTCATGGGTTGGCGCTAGGGTCTAGCACTATTATCTTAGGCTAAGCTTAGCTAAGATATATATATTATACTATGCGAGGATTACTTAGCTTAAGTATTCTTGTGCGTACCTAGCGCTTACTAGATGCCTAGGCTAGACTTGAACAAGGTTCATGGGTTGGCGCTAGGGTCTAGCACTATTATCTTAGGCTAAGCTTAGCTAAGATATATATATTATACTATGCGAGGATTACTTAGCTTAAGTATTCTTGTGCGTACCTTTTGGACCATGGCTAATTGGTACAGTGTAACAACCCTATCGTGAAGACACCTTATGGTGTTCTAGTTAATTAGGTGCATCCCTAGCTAGGTTTAGTGTCTTGGCGCCTAAGCTGTGCAAAACCTGCGCTTCGCGCAGGGCTTAGGAAAGATAAGTATTATTCTCATGTTAATACTATACTAATAGCTATCTCTATACTATTCTATCTAGTATAAAGCAAATACTATTACCTATAACTAGAATATTATATAATAATACTTCCTATTTAATAGTCTAGAGATAGCTCTATCTACGCGCGCAAATAGCTAAGGGGTACTACTAGCAAAAATATAACCACCCCCTATTAAGCTATAACTAAGGGAAGAACTAGTAAGTAGTTCCCCCCTAAGCAATAAGCAGTAAACCCCCACGCTAGACGCAGACTTAACGCTTAATAAGCGCATCTAAGCCGCCTAAAGGAGACGCGATAAACTCTAGAAACTATAATACCTATATAAACTAGAAGCTAAAATCCTACACCTTAAAAGCCTAAAAAGGGACACTACCCTAGACTTAATAGGGAGTATAATAGAGGATATCCCTAAGATACTTAAAAATACGTATAAGCGGGGCGCATTTAGGGCGCTAACGCCCCTACCTTTAAAGCGCATGCTAAAACTAAAGGATCTATTAGAATATAAGGGAAAAAACCTTAAGGAATATTATAAATTCTTTTACTCTTATAAGGGAGCCTTTCTACTATTACTATAGACTTTCTGCTGTAATAAGGATAAGGTTCTTTAGGCTATGCAGTACTTAGCAGGAGACCCCTAAGAACTATAGTACACGCACTTTAAGCGCACGTTTAGAGCAACTACTATAATAGTAACCTAGTTATATTTTAAGGCGTATATACTTAACTTACTCTCTAACCCTATTAATTATATACTTAAAGCAGCTATAATACACGCTTAGGTAATATAGTGTAGGGACTAAATAGTTTACTCCTTTATAATATACCTTAAAGTCCTAGAGAATTAACTTACTCCCTACACTAAATAACAGAGAGTCTAGTATCTTTTCTTAAAGCTAAGGCTAGAGATATAGCAAGCAATTACTAACTACTACTAAGTACTAGTAATAAGAGAGGATTTAATAGCGTTAGGCTCTACACTTAAGTAAAACCTACGCTAACCCTCCCTAACGCGCGATTATAACACACGTCCTAAAGGAAACACTAGATATAGGGACTAGAAGCTAGGGGAGAAGCTACCTCCTCCTATAAATAAGCTACCTTAAGATAAGAATAGTATTACCTATTTTAAATATTAAAAGAAAGGCTACTACGCTAATAAGTATAAAAGTAGTAACCTAAATTAGATCCCTGTGCGTATTAATAAGACAGGAAAAGCTTAAGCCTTACTAATAACCTAGGGATAGTAAGGCGTATTCTAATATATATCTTACTAGGCATAAAGCGTATATATAGCGTAGCTAGGGAGACAACCCTAGAGAGATAACTATAGGTTATTTTAGACCTTTAGGTAGATATTAGCCTAATTAGTTAAAAGACTACTATTAAAATAAGCCTACTACCTATTAAAGGAGCAGAGCTTCCTTAGTTAGGCTAGATTAAGAGATAATAATAGAGCACTTACATAGTATATACGCTCTAGGTACGCTTAGCTAATAATATAGGCGTTAAGCGCTATATATAGATAACTATATATAGCGTTAATAAGGAGGGCTCTCTACTACTACTTAGTAACCTATTCCTCTAGTAAGGATATATTTACCTTAACTATAGCTCTTAAGCCTAGAGATAGGGATACAAAGTAGCTAGTATTTAGCTTATTACTACTAAAGAGTTAGAAGAAGATATATAATAATTAGGTCTTAACCTACTACTTCTTAGTATTATCTAGACTACTAGTATAGACTTAGAATATAATACCTATATCTACTAAGCGTATATAGCGTAAGAGCTACGTATACTAAATACTTTAAAGGACTACTCTAATATCTTTAGTAAGGAGGCAGCTACTACCCCTCTAAATTTCAAGTCCTTAGACTATGCTATTCCTCTCCTAAAAGGAAAGGAGCCTCTATATAGTCCGCTCTACAACCTCTCCTTATATAAGCTAAAGCTACTTAGAGAGTACTTAGAATAAGTGCTACGTAATAGCTAGATTTGCTATAGCACTAGCCCTATAGGGGCCCCTATCCTATTTATTCCTAAGAAAGATAGAACACTTCACCTTTGCGTAGATTACTATAGTTTAAACGCAATTACTATTAAAGATTATTGCCTGCTCCTACTAATTAGAGAGACCCTAGACTGCCTATTAGGCGCACGCTACTATACAACCCTAGACCTCTAGAACGCCTACTATAGAATGTGGATTAAGGTAGGAGATAAATAGAAAATAGCTTTCTATACACGCTACAGTTATTTTAAATATCTAGTAATGCTATTTAGGCTAACTAATACCCCTACTAGCTTCTAGGCCTATATTAATAGAGCCTTAATTAAACACCTAGATTATATATACGTTATATACCTAGATAATATCCTTATCTACACTAGTAATAATAAAGTTGCGCTCTACTAGCGTGCTATGCGCGCTGTGCTTTAATTACTGCGCAACGCAGAGTTATTTATTAACCTACTAAAGTATACCTTTATATCTAATAAGGTCCACTTTCTAGGCTTTATTATTAGCACGCGAGGTGTGTGCGCTAATCCTGCTTAGGTAGAGAGTATTACCTAATAGCTGCAGCTAATAAATATTAAGGAACTACAATCTTTTCTAGGTTTTACTAACTTCTACTAACGCTTTATTACAGGCTATACTATATAGACTGCCCCCCTTACTAATTTACTTAAAAAGGATAATAGCTTTACTTAGATACCTGCTGCAGATAAGTCTTTTAAGATGCTTAAAGGATGCTTTTTAAGCGCGCCTATCTTACACCACTTTAATACTAAGCGCCCTATTTAAGTAGAAATAGATACTTCTACCTTTGCTATTATAGGTATCCTTTTATAACTTTTTAAAGATAATAAATAGCACCTAGTTGCCTTTATCTTAAGGAAATTATAAGCTGCTAAGCTAAATTACAAAGTCTATAACCTAGAGCTACTAGCTATTATTTATAGCTTTAAGTAGTAGTAGCACTACCTAGAAGGCACCTAGCACACTATATAAGTGCTAAGTAACTATAATAACCTACGTAGGATACGCGCTATATAAAAGCTAAACCTATAATAAGCTTATTAGGTAATATATCTAGGAGCTTTTAACTTTAAGGTAGAGTATAGATTAGGGAAAACTAACCCTATAGATAGCCCCTTAAGAAGGGTAGATTATATACAGGAGAACCTGTTACTAACCTAATTATTACCTACCCTATAGAGTAAACTACTTATAAGGGATAGACTTAGTAGAGCAAGTAGATCTATAGATAAGTAGAGCTTATTAGGCGTGTGTAAGACGCACGTTGCTATAGTTTATAGAACTAGAAAGGTCCTTACTACTAGCGCTATAGTATGCACGCTATACG